TACCTAACCGTGATAACTTAAAGAAGTCAATGCGTCAAGTCCGGAGGTATTTATTTTTTTCTATTTTTTATGAATCTATTCTAATTTTATATATTTTACATATAAGGAAAAATTTGCCGCCTAATCCGAAAACTTTAGTCTTGATTTGAATTTATATCATTACTTATTTATTTATTTATTTAGATATTTAGCAACTGGCACGCATTTATCATCTCTGCATTTTGAATTTCWGGCAGGAGTGTATACTATAGCCATGATTGTACGGGAAACTTGTGAAGTTTTATGGGAAGTATTACAACCTAAGGAAATGGCAGAACCAACAACAGACGACTGGAAAGAGGTTGCAAAAGGTTTTTTTGAAAAAACGCAATTTCCAAATACTGTTGGCGCCGTAAGTTTATCGGTTTGACAATAAATTATATTTTTAATATTGTCGATAAAATAATAATAGTAATAATGTCAAATATAAGTGGACTTAACGATTATAACTACAATTAAGTAACAATATCAACTTAATAGAGGGATGTAGGCAATGATTTTTTTAAGGAATGTTCTGCACTGGGTGACAAAAATATATTTATTTAAAATAAATAGTAAATTCTATAGTATGATAGAAATATTTCATGCTTGCCCCCTCTTCATAATTGAAAAATAAATCTAATGCTAGGATTAAATGGTAATAAAATAATAAACATAAAAATCGGGAACTCGTTCTGCTGTRCAGTAGAGGTTGAKTGGACCTCGGTCGTTAAGTAGGTTACAATAATGGATGTGTTAAATTTGAATGCTAGGTATAATCGTATGTAAAAAACCATTTTGAACTGAGACGATTTGTAAGTCTAGGATATTTTATTAATTTATTTCAAATCTAAAATCATTTGATAGTAAATCGTTATTTTACGGGTGAATTTTAGAAAAATTATAAATTTTTTACTGTTAAAAAATTAAAAATTTAGATGCTCGTACAAATTTTTTAACAGTCTTACGCTTGATTTTTAATATTTGTATAAATAATTAAACAAATAAGTAAAAAAAAAAATTGTTCAACTGTTGTTTTACTGTTACAAAAAAAAATGTAATCCTAGCTGTGGCTGTTTAAGTCTTATAAGATATGTTGTATTTAAAATAAATATTTATATTTTAACTTCAACAATTTTGATTACAGGTGGATGGTAAACATATACGACTTTAGTACCCTAAAAATAGTGGATTATTATATTAAAATTATAAACATTTTTTTTCATTAATTCTGATGGCTATTTGCGATTCTAACTACTGCTTTAGAGTAATTGATGTGGGTTCTTACGGGAAGGAGAGTGACTGCAATGTCTTCAAAACATCTGCTTTTGGCAAAAAAATTTACATGAACAGAACAAACTTTCCTGCTAATCAATGCTTACCAAATGACAATCTTGGTATACCACTACCATTTGTGTTAATGGCTGATGAAGGATTTGCTCTGCATAAGAATTTATTAAGGCCATTTCCAGGAAGAAGTTTAAATGACCAGAGAAGAATATTTAATTACCGATTATTTAGGGCCCGTCAGTATATTGAATGTTCTTTTGGTATTATGTCAAAAAAGTGGAGGGTTTTCCAGACCAGCATGCTTGTAGAACCAGAAACTGCGGTTAATATTACAAGAGCCTGCTGTAGTGTACTTCATAATTTTATGCGACGGTGTGATGGGTTTAACTCTGAAGACACCCAAAGTTCCATGGAAAGCATAACTGAAAGAAGAGGAGTGGGAAACTCTTCAACCAATGCAAAATATGTCAGAGAGTACTTTGTGCAACATGTTAATTATACAAACCATGCGCTTGACTGGCAAAACAATGTCATTTGTCAGTAGCTTTTTATATAGGTACCTACATTGTATGTTTATTATGATATGCATATAGGTAAATGTTTGTTATTTGTATTATTACAATTTGAATATGTATTATATGTATATTGTACTATTATTTGTATCTTAAGTWTTATACCTATCTTACTCACTGATRAACAATATCCATAAAGCAATAAGTACCGAGAAGCATTGATAAAAGCTGTCTGGTACAGTGGTTCAAATAGTGGAATTTTTCAGGGGAGGCTCAAAAAAGTGTAAAGTATTTTACCTTACAATAAGTACATAMATCACATGCATCAAAAATCAAAATATGTAAGGAAGATCCAAAACGTAAATCTACCTGTCAATGGCAGTGCTAGATGTTTTTTATTGGCGGGGGTGAGGGGCAATACCGGGGCAAATTTTTTTCTAGTGGTGCATTTATATACGACTACTTGATCWCACCTTAAGTTGTTATACCATATTTTCAGAAAATATTGCTTCAAATGTTTTGGGTATAATTGCTGTATTTCTAAATAAATAATCAAAAATGTAATTCCTATAAAACTTCAAATTTCCTAATAATAGATAACTTTTTATTTTTTAATGTATGAGATTTTAGAAAGAGTGCAGTATAATAATTTATTTTATCATTATAGTTGAATTAAATGCACAAGTACCATATTTCTAAATATCAACATAAGATTAAAATTATCAACATTAAATTATAGGGTGGGCAATGGAGGAKCAAAATCAATTTTGGGGGAAACTTGCCCACCCTTGTCCCATCGTAGCGCTGCCCCTGCTAGAAGTAAAATATATATGATTATTTCTAATATGATTTCAACCATTTTTAAAATTAAAATTTATGTATTTTACACAAGAGACATAAATCARAAAGAGATCAATATATTTTTCCTAATTCGAATTTTCAGTTCGATAAATCAAATAAGTTTGTCCAATATCTTCAAAATATTCATAGATACATTGTATAATTTTGTCWTTATTTTGGTTTTTTTTTTGTGATTTTTGAATGGAAAGTTCTACACTATATTTACGCACAGAATACCACATATTTTCGATAGAAAAATAAAAAACAAAGAATATGACAATATTGTTGCAGATGATTACTGGCGAGTTTTTTGATGATATAAATATATATTATATACACTTACCTATATTCCAAATACTTTCCTCGTTCTGCACATCTATTATAAATGCCTCGTTGTCAAACATTATACTGTAGTTGAATATGARATATATAAATATTAAATTGAATACCAAATGACGAGTTCTGGTCATAACAATATTATCAACTTTATGAATGAATAAAAATTGGGAAAAACGCGCCTATGGAGCGTTAAAATCGTTTCGTGTGAATATAAACATTTGAAATGCACGGTTTAATTTTAGTGTTTGATCGCAACCGAACGCGTTAAAATTAAACATGTGTGATTTATCGCGTACGCTCGTAACCGAACGCGTCTGTTATTCCCTGTTTGAATATCAACATCAAAAATACACGTGAACTATTTCGGGCGATTATTTGCCRCGATTCGAAAATYRCGAACGCGCGCGTTCGAATCGCTCCGTGTGTAACCAGCTTAACAATCACCAAAAAAAAAAAAAACTTTCCTATAAATTAACAGCCCTGGTAATAACATACTATGTAATAATAATTAATATAAACATATTTTTTATAATTATTTAAGTTGAATTGATGAGGATAACAATGAATATGGTGACACTGATGTTTAGGCTAACAACCAATACTCAATTGAAAATCAAATATTAAATTATGACTTCCAAGAACATTGATTTCTACAGGACTTGGAATGACTTTTTGTATTAGGTGTTCAGCTCATRCAATTCAACTTTGTGTCTTTGATGGTTTAAAAACCACTAATCTAAAAGTAATTTTAGAAAAAACTCGCAARCTAACAATCTAATTTAGTAGTTTTCATTAAAATATTTTTATTTAAAAATTGTTTTTAATAATTGCCAATTTATGTGAATAGCCTAGACAATTTGACATAATTATAAATTTACTATTTACATCAAGTTTAAAATAATCATACACATAGTTATGTACCTATAGGTATTTATTAAGTACTAATTGTTTTTATATTATGATATTTTTTCGGTTGTTAAAAAGTGAGAACCCCCACTGTATCAACAATGCTAAAAAARCAATTTAAATAAAGCCAATTTAGCTTGTGATACAAGGTGGAACTCAATATATTATGATATGCAGGGATGGACAGTAATCAGTTACGATTCATGAACACTTCCCCGTCTGCCAATTCCTCGTCATGCGTTTCCCCGTAACCACTTCCTCGTAAGATATTTCCCCGTCCAATACGTTTCCCCGTACGACATATCCCCGTCTATTATAAGTATACTCATAAATATAAAATATAAGTAATAAAAAAACAAAAAATTACCATAAAATATTTTAATATTGTAGTACTAAATTATGAGCGATTCCAATTATTAAGTACTCATTTGGATCACGTTCATCATTATGTAGACACAATATTTTCTATACGTTTACATTTCGCTATTTTATTGTTATATGTTTTCGACTAATATTTTTCATTATCGGTGTAAAATCCAAATGATTCGTCGATAAACTAATATTTTTTTTTTTTTTTTTGTTATAAATCCGTAGATTTGTTTGTTGCAGCTCTCCATGCTTCTCTATCGTAGCACAATTCCTTCAGGTCTTTGTAACTTCCCTTATTCGTATCCTGCATTATCTGTGTCATGTATTYTGTTCTTGGTYTTCCTCTTGCAATGTGTCCTTCAACATCTCCTTCAATTATTTTCTTTAGTAAACTCTCATGCCTTAAAATGTGTCCTATCATCTTGCCTCTTCTTGATTGAATACTTTTCCATATTTGTCGTTGTTCCTTTATTTTGTCTAGTACTTCTTTATTCGTTACCTTCTCAGTCCATGGTATTTTGAGCATTTTCCTGTAGCACCACATCTCAAAGGCTTCTAGCCTATTTTTTTCCGTTGAGTTTATTGTCCAGGTTTCGGATCCAAAGAGTGCTACGCTCCAAATATAACTTTTTAGGAATTTCTTCCTTATTTCCAGGCTAACACTATTGGTAGTTAATATGTGGCTTTTGTCTTGAAATGCTCTTTTCGCCTGTGCTATCCTACAGATTATATTTGTTTTGCTGCGACCATCCTCTGTTATATTGCTTCCTAGATATGTRAATTGTTGCACTTGCTTTATTTGTTCATTTCCGATATTTATGTTGAGTCGAACCGGATTAGTTTTACTGCAAACCATAACTTTTSTTTTCTTTTTGTTCAGCTTCATTCCATACTTATTTYTTAGTATTCTATYTATTGTTACTAGGGTATTTTGTAGGTCGTCTTCTCTTTCCGCACAGAAAGCTATGTCATCCGCAAATCTTAAGGCAGTCACCATTGTTCCTCCTATTCGCACTCCTTTCTGTATTTCTTCTCTCAGTTCTTTCATTGCCTCTTCAATGTACAAGTTGAATAGCATTGGTGACAAAATACAACCCTGTYTTACACCTTTTTTTATTTTTGCTTCTTGCTCTTTCCCATCTATCTGTATTATKACTGTTTGGCTTTTGTACATATTATAGATAAATCTTCTATCGTTATATTTAATTCCTATTCTTTTCAATATTTTAAATAATTCCTTCCATTGTACATTATCARAAGCCTTCTCCAGGTCTACAAAAGCAATGAAGGTTTCTTTGTTTCGTCTAATCTGTTTTTCTATCATTATCCTTAGCGCTAAGGTCGCCTCTCTGGTTCCTATATTTCGCCTAAAACCAAATTGATCTTCTYCTAGRTTTGCATCTATTGCTTTTTCTATTCTATTCTTTATTACCCTTGTTATTATTTTTGAAGCATGCGTGTTGAGGTTTAAAGTCCTATATTCCTCAMAATTCATTGTCCCCTTTTTCTTGGGAATTGTTACTATAATGCCTTTCCTGAAATCATCAATTATTTCCCCGTTTAAGTACATTTCATTACATATATTTCCAAGTTCTTTATTTATTTCTTCACCGGCACACTTTATTAGTTCTGCTGGGATTTTATCTATACCGCATGCTTTGTTGTTTTTAAGATTTTCTATAGCAAAATCAATTTCTGATTGGAGGATATAGTCTCCTTTRTCTTCATCTTCTACACAGTTCTCTTCTTCTAGGACATTTCCACTAAATTGGTTTGCATACAATTCTTCTAGGTATTCTTTCCATCTGTTTACCTTTTGTTCGGCTGTTATAAGTATCTCACCCGTTTTACTTTTCAGGGCATTTCTATTCATCCTTCTTGTGCAGAAAAGTTTTTTCACTATTTCGAAAGCTAGATCACTTCTTCCCCTTTTTAGGTACTCTTCCACTTCAGTACATTGGTTATCTAACCATTTTTCTTTGGCTTCCTTTGCTTTTCTTTGTATTATATTTCTGATGTGTTTGTAGTTCTGTTGACTGTCTATGTTGTTTTGGTTTTTGTACTTTCTTCTTTCGTTTATTAGTTCTATAATTTCTTCCGTAATCCAGGGTTTCCTTGYTTCTTTTTCCCGTGATCCCAAAACTTCCTCAGCCTTATTTTTTAGTATTTGTTTAATATTCTTCCATTTTTCTTCTACTGTGTTATTATCTGGTGTGACTGYCATTAGAGTGTCACTACATTTCTTACTATATGYCACTTTTATTTCATCGTTTTTTAATTTCTGTAGGTTCCATCTCTTAATATTATTTTTCTTTTTAATGTTTTTGTATTTTAGTTCTGATTCCATGATTAAGAGATTATGGTCACTATTTATATCTGCTCCRGGATATGCTTTACATTGWTTGATTTGGTTTCTAAATCTTTGTTTTGTCATAATGTAATCAATTTGGTACCTCGCTATATCTCCAGGAGCTTTCCATGTGTACCTTCTTCGTTTATGRTTCTTGAACAGGGTGTTTGMTAGCACAAGCTCGTGTTGCGTACAAAATTGTACGAGTCTCTCGCCTCTATCATTTCTTTTCCCTAGTCCATAATTTCCTACTATATATCCGTCATTCTGTTCTCCTACTGATGCATTCCAATCTCCTAGGATAATGACGTTTTCTCCAGCTTTTGTCATCTTTAGAACTTCATCTATTTTGTCATACACTTCTTCGACTTCATCGTCATCATGCGTTGTTGTTGGCATATATACTTGGATAATCGTTGTTATTGTTGGATAGGAGTTAATTTTTACCAYGATGATTCTGTCAGTACATTGATAATWGCTCATAAGGTTTTTACCACATTGTTTATTCATCAGGAAGCCTACTCCTGTGTATCTATCGCTTGAACCTGTGTGAACAAATCTATATTCATCGCTCCA